CGCAACCATCCTTAAACTGCTCGCAATAATCCGTAAATAATCCTTAAACAAATCGTAAACTAACCGTAACGAATCGTTACAAAAATCTGTTACGATCTAGTCATTAGCGGGTTCTTGCGAGCAGTTTACGGATGGGAACGTGTTGTTGTGAGCGGTTTACGGATGGTTACGGATTGTTACGAGCTATTTACGAGCTATTTACGGATAAATCAATCCGTGGACACTCGTAAGAAGATTTTTGACATGTCAAAAAATTTGCCTCTCCTTTCACGGATCCTCAAGAGTGCCTACGAGTTGTTGCGAGTTGTGACGAGTTATTTACGGATACCAGCGAGGTATTTACGGATGCTTGCAATTGACTACGAGTTGGCGATCCGTAAGGACTCGTAAGAAAAATCCGTGTATGTGAAGGGGGTATCAACAAAATTGCCTCTCCTTTCACGGATCCTTAAGAGTGTCTGCAAGTAGTTGCGAGTTGTGACGAGTTATTTACGGATACCACCGAGTTGACTATATACGAGTTGGCGATCCGTAAGGACTCGTAAGAAAAAATTGTGAATGAAAGGGGGTATTATGGATTATTACGAGTGCTTACGTGTTATTTACGATTTCATTCGGGTCCGACGTGTTACGATGGCTTTACGGATCGTTATGAGTTATTACGAGCACTTTACGAGTTACGAATAGATACGTAGACTTAACGTAGACCTATTCTTACTGCGTATTATTTACGATCTGGGGAAAGGTATACAAGCTGCAAAATCGTAAGGACTTGTAAATACTCGTAACTAACTCGTAGCTATTCGTAACAACACGTAAACAGGTCGTAAAAGGTCCGTAAGTTGCTCATAGTTATGCAACTCGTAACAAATCGTGGAATTTTGCCAAAAACACATCATAATAACTCGTAATATTAATGCAATTTCTTTGATAATAAGAACAATGAAAGGCCGTAAAAGGCCAGGCTACTTAAAGACGAGTCGTACAAAGAGGAAATAAGAAAAAAACTATTAGTGAATGTGAAGAAAATCAAGATATAGACTTAAAAAAAAAAAAAAAAATTGATCAGAATCGAAGAAATAAAAACAAATGATTTTTCTAATCGACTATACGAGTACATTTGAAGCAAATAGGTAACAGTTTAAATCATGTTGCACATGTAAAATTCAAGACTTATGTATGAACGAAATCAATAAGAAAAAAAGGAGAAAAAAAATATGTATGGTTTTTTATGAACTTATGTTGGTGATATATGTTGTGAGAATCTGAAACTATGATGAAAAAATGAATAAAACGAGAATTAGAAAGAGGAGAAAAATCGCAATAATCCGTAAGAAATCGTTAATAGCTCGTAATAACTCATAACAACTCTTAAATCGGTCGTAAAAGTAGCCAAATCGCAAGGATCCGTGAAAGATCCGTGAATTTGCGCGATCCGTAAGGACTTGTAAGAATTAGGTTGATTTTTTTCGAAAGTCTTTGCGATCGGATTCACTGTATGTGAGTTAATAAGAATCACAGATGTGAATAACAAATCTTCCCTCTGTAGTGAATTTACAAATTGCAACATGACGAATAGTGAGCGGTTGAGGATCGGTGTATGTCATAAACGGGGTTCGGTTGTTATCGTCGAACACCTTGATGACTCCCTGCTCGTACGTGACGAGGATTGACATCGTTCTGTTTATACTCAGTCCATAGGATGGGTTTCGTTGCCAAAGTACCACACATCTAGCCCTACACCGACAAATGAAATGATAAGGATCTCCTCCTATATCTGCGAGAACAAAACAAAAACAGATAAAATGAATGCGTACTCTCGGCCACAAGCATAAAACAAACATCGGTATACCCTTACAAAAAAAATCTATGATATTCCTATGGTACGGCTCTATGGTGTATGGTATTTCTATGATATATTATATGGTAGAATATATTTCTATGGTATACCACACAATTGCTGAATGGTGGAGTTCTATGGTCAATGGTATATCATTGATGCCGTCCTATGGTGTATGGTATTTCTATGATATATTATATGGTAGACTATATTTCTATGGTATTTCTGTTGAATGGTATCCCTATGGTGGAGGATATTTCAGTGGTAGCTCTATGGTGGATGATGACTTTATGGTATATCTATGGTGGTTATGTGACTGTATGGTGGCTCTAAAGTGAATGGTAGATCTATGGTAGCTCTATGGTGGCTGTATGGTGTATGGTATTTCTACGGTATGTTATATGGTAGAATATATTTCTATGGTATTTCTGTTGAATGGTATCCCTATGGTGGAGGATATTTCAGTGGTAGCTCTATGGTGGATGATAAGTTTATGGTATATCTATGGTGGTTATATGACTGTATGGTGGCTCTAAAGTGAATGGTAGATCTATGGTAGCTCTATGGTGGCTGTATGGTGTATGGTATTTCTACGGTATGTTATATGGTATAATATATTTCTATGGTATTTCTGTTGAATGGTATCCCTATGGTGGAGGATATTTCAGTGGTAGCTCTATGGTGGATGATGACTTTATGGTATATCTATGGTGGTTATGTGACTGTATGGTGGCTCTAAAGTGAATGGTAGATCTATGGTAGCTCTATGGTGGCTGTATGGTGTATGGTATTTCTACGGTATGTTATATGGTAGAATATATTTCTATGGTATTTCTGTTGAATGGTATCCCTATGGTGGAGGATATTTCAGTGGTAGCTCTATGGTGGATGATAACTTTATGGTATATCTATGGTGGTTATATGACTGTATGGTGGCTCTAAAGTGAATGGTAGATCTATGGTAGCTCTATGGTGGCTGTATGGTGTATGGTATTTCTACGGTATGTTATATGGTATAATATATTTCTATGGTATTTCTGTTGAATGGTATCCCTATGGTGGAGGATATTTCAGTGGTAGCTCTATGGTGGATGATGACTTTATGGTATATTAATGGTGGTTAGTGACTCTATGGTGTCTCTAAAGTGAATGGTAGATCTATGGTAGCTCTATGGTGGCTGTATGGTGCCCGGCCCCCCCACTCAGGGGTCGGAATGACCGCATGCGTGTTGCCAAAATGTCCGGTAAAGGGGTACTTTTCGTGCGACAAAGTCCGGCCCGAGAATTGTAAAAAAAAGGGGTGTATTTGACTTTTCACCCGGAGATTTCTTTAAAAAGGGGGTGTTTTTTCTTTTTTTCTCTCATCTCTTTGGACTCCTGAGAAATTATTCCGAATTTAGGGGGGTACATTGAGCATTTTTCCTGATTTAGGGGGGTCTCCAAGGCAGGAAAAGCCCGGGAAAAGCCCGCGAAAGGGGGGTTCGAAAATGTTGGCAGTCCTCAGGGGGTGCTTTCAAAAAGAGGGAACGAGCATATGCGTACCCTAAATAACACTGAGTGGGGGGGGGGGCGGGGTATGGTGTATGGTATTTCTATGGTATGATATATGATAGAGTGTATTATATGGTATTTCCGTTGAATGGTATATCCCTGTGGTGTAAGATATTTTAGCAGTAGCTCTATGGTGGATGATGACTTTATGATATATTTCTAGTGGTTAGTGACTCCATGGTGGCTCTAAAGTGGCACTTTTTACATAAAAAGGGCCCCTTTACTTTAAAAAGTGCCCCTTTTATTGTTTTTAAAGTGCCCCTTTTCCTTCGATAAGTTCCGGTTTTCCTTTGCAATAAGTGTCTATTTTCCATTCTCATAAGTGCCCTTTTTCCATCTCTAATAAGTGCCCCTTTTCAGATACGAGAAGTGCCCCTTTTCACTTTTGATAAGTGCCCCATTCACCTCTGATAATTTCCCTATTCAAATCTGAGAGGGGCCTTTCCCCTTTTAATAACTACCCCTTGTTTAACTCGGATAAGCGCACCTTATATTTTCACATGTGCCCCCTTTCCTTTCTAACAAGTGCCCCCATTTAAAAGAGAGCCCCTTCCCTTTATCATAAATGCCCCCTTTTCATCTATGAAAAGCTACTTTTCATTCTTAAGTCCCTCTTCATTCTCATAGTCCCGTTCCATCTTTAGTAAATGACCCTATTAAATTCTGAGAGGTACTCGTTTTATTTTGACAAGTGTCCCTTTTCCTCCTGATAAGTGCTCTTTTCATCTTCAATAACTGCCCCTTTTATTTTGCCCCATTTAAAAGAGCCCCTTCCCTTTATCATAAATGCCCCCTTCCCTTCCTAATAAATGCTCTTTTTCCTTCTTTTAAGTGCCCCATCCCCTTCCCATAATTACCCCCTTTTTATCTCTCATAAGTGCCCCGTTTATCTTGACATGTGCCTCTTTTCTTTTTAATAATAGCCTGCACTTCCCCCTTCTCATAAATCCCCCCCTTCCCCTCGTATTAAATGCCCCTATTAAAAACTGATCGGTGCCCCTTTTCGTACAACAAATGAACATTTCCCCTTATTATTAGTGCCCCTTTTTCATTCTCATAAGTGCCCCTTTTCTTTTCACCTCAGATAATTACCCTTTAACAATGATACGTACGTGCCCCATTTTCACCTTCTGATAATTACCCGTTGTAATTTGACATGTGCTCCTTTTTTTTCTAATAAGTGTCACCCTTTTCGATAAGTGTCCCCTTTTCCTCTCATCACGTGCCCCTAATTTCCAGCTACTAAGAGCAATATCACCCAAAGCACACCCGCATTTCTAGATGTTATAATTATGGTACTTATCAAAGGTCTTTTCAGTCTTCTGTTATGATAATGTAATAAACCCATCAGGATTGGGTTTTTCTTCTTTATAATTGATGTAATTTTTCGCACTGCGACCTCACAAATCTTATTTATAAAGATAAAAAAAATATTGAAATCATCCCTGATAATCTAATCACAATATAGGGGGTATATACAAATGTTTTTTTTTTAAATATATATTTTCGCTTTGAGATTTCCCTTTGTAGGTGCCCTATTTATTTTCTCCAGAAAGTGCCCTTTTTGTTGGTGCCCCCCCCCCCCCGCCCCCCCCCGCCCCCCCCCCCCCCCACTTTGGAAGTCGCTCCACTGCCTCTGTTTGCACTCAATTAGTCTCAATCAATTAAAGAAATCATTAAATAAAAAATTCTAAACCAAATTGTAACAAGTAATGTATATCAGCAGAAAGTAGATAACAAGGGCTGTTTGCTGCCACCTTGTGCCCAAGATTTGAATAACTCTTCTAGCCGTTGGTCTCCAATTTCTACTCACTGAAAATGCTTCGCAAAACTCCAAAATATGTGAGGAAGAGGAAGGTGTTCAAAGGAGATCAATACCAGATATTACAGAAGAGTAACATGAATGCTGGAGAGGTGCCAGAAGAACTAACAGCTAATTCAGAGATCAAGGAAGCTTTCCCTGAATAAGTGTTTGGACAGCCCTATTTTTGGCCCTGGTCCCACATGTGAAGATCCGCGTCATTAGTGGCCCACAACTTGCAGCTGCTTTGCAAAAGGCTCACGTGTGTCTGGGAGGTATGTACTTACTATCAAACAATATTTTTAGTTTGCAAACTGTTACTTTGAGATTGTATTGCATGCTCAAGGGGTGAATGGCTCAAAAAGCCAAATCAAATGATTCAGAATAGAGTAAAGGAGGGGGTAAGTAATCGACCATCACCAGTTTTCGGCCGATCCGTTGGATGCATGGTAAAATCCCTGTAAAATCCATCGCATAACAGCACATCATATATCCCACACATACCATACCATGCCAGAGTCACTGAAGAACCACATTTGCAATGGAAAATATATCCTAAAATATCACATTTTAGCGATGTAATCTGCGGTCCCGCTCCCCGAATCTGAAAACTTAAGTATCTTACGCGTGTAAGGAATATGGGTACCATAAAATGAGCTTTATTTCAAGTATTTTTCAGATTTAGAGTCCGATTTTGTGTGAGTCGCAAGCTCAAAAGTATCTCATCGCATGTATTTAATCAATGCAGCCAGATACCGCAGCGCACACACGATATCTCTGTCTATATTCAGATTCCAATTTCTGATCACCGCAGAGGTAGTTTTCGGCACGGGAAGCTCCGGCTTGGGATACCTGCTCCGGCTGCTAGTGCTATAGATCAGTGGGGAAACGCATGGCGCGCTTGCTTGCTTCCTATTGACTTTGTACATGCGGCCGAAATCTGCCTCGCTAGGCCGAAAACTACCTCCGAAACAGTGAAAATTGAAATGAATGTTGTCATGGCAATTCATGATTTTTTTTTCTGGGATTCTTTCTTTGTTTAAATAATAATAGTATTTGCTTCATGATTTGAACAAGAAATGATAATAAATAGGAAGTAAAGACTCCAAAAAATAGGATTTTGTCTTAAGTGGCCGAAAAACCCCTCCTTTACTCTATGGTGAATCGAAGTGGGGGCATCGGAATTGTCGTGAAATCTGTGAAAATGTGCATTTGTGTAATATACCACATGTATGTCATAACTAGCACTTTGTTATTATTTGGGGATTGTGCTTTTCAAAATATTTTCCCTATTCCATAAAGTGTTTTGGATATCTTTTACAGGGCATCTCATTCACCTCTGGAGAATTTGTCAAAGAGGAATGGGTTGAACTGCGCCATGGTCCTTGGTTGCTTCATTTGCAAGAAGGAGAGGACATTCTCTTCATCAGAAAATGAATGCAAAGGACGTGGAAAGTCTGCAGAAATAAACCGCAGAGCTACTCTGGCAGCAACGGAGGTTGGTTTGGCACGGGATAGCTTGTGCGACTTGCTGACCATCCTCGGAACAGCCCCACTAGTCGAAGCCCCTAGCTACAACAGGCACATAGCCACTTTATCTTCCTTATCCCAAGAGGTTAGTCACCAGCCTTGTGTTTTCTTCATTACATTATCTTAGCTGTACGTACATTTAATCCAAACATATTTGTATTTCTTAGTTATGGTCGATAGACAGTATAATACATGTACATCAATATCCCTTCTTGTCAAATCAAGGGATGAAAATTAATCAAATCTAAATATTTGTAATAGGGTCTAATAAGTAAGGGGCCTGAGGGAACTTGAAATTTACTTGTTATTTATTACAAACTCTTTTTTTTTTTTGCAGACCAGTAAGGATCAAAAGAAGAAGGTGGCAGCATGCCTACGTCAAAGGGCCATGGACAAGGATCTGACCATCAGGGAAAATGATCATGTGGACGTGGCAGTGCCCTACGATGGAACATGGCATAGACGAGGTTACACATCGAATCATGGGGTGGGGGTAGTGATACCGATCGATACAGGGGAGATGGTTTGACACAGAGGGTCTATCAAAATCATGTAAACAGTTTGAGTATAGAAAGGGTTGGGTCTTTAGTGTTCTCAGCCAGAGGGACCTTGATCGCCTTCAGAGACTCCAAAAATGAGCAGCAAGGCTTGTCTTTTCTGCTCCTCTTCGAACTCACATACAACCTCTTTGACTTGAACTTCATTGTACATGTTTATACAATGTTTTAGAACATTTCTGTGCTGCAACTCAGTGCCTTAGTTTTTATTGTACATGTTTATATATTTTTAACTTGCCTTTCATTTTAGTCATGTTTACATATACACTATATATGACATTTTAGTTATTTAGAGGAACTAGGGTGATATATATGTGGGTATTTATTACAGCTTAGTAGAATAAGTCCAAGTAATATGTGTTGCAATTATGAACTTGCCTTTCATTTGAGTTTTTATTGTAAATGTTTATACAATGTTTTAGAACAATCCTGTGCTGCAACTCAGTGCCTTAGTTTTTATTGTACATGTTTATATATTTTTAACTTGCCTTTCATTTTAGTCATGTTTACGTACACACTGTATATGACATTTTAGTTGTTTCTTTTTAACTTGCCGATTATTTAGAGGAACTAGGGTGATATATATGTGGGTATTTATTACATCTTAGTAGAATAAGTCCAAGTAATATGTGTTGCAATTACGAACTTGCCTTTCATTTTAGTTTGTAGTGTACATGTTTATGTGATATATTTTTTTACTTGCCTTTTATTTTAGTTTTTAGCATATGTACATGCATACAACTTTTGATATAAACCAAATACATCCTGCCACTTTCATTCAATTCATTTTTTTAATAAGCATCATGTGTGTATTGTAAGTTAACATTTAAGTTTAGATTTCTCAAAAATTCAATATATTATAGTCACCATTCTGTGTACTATAGAACGCACTACAGCCACCATTTGAAATGGTATATTCAGAATGGTAGTTTGGATCTTGATCTATGGTTAGCAGAATGGTTTCTGCTAACCATAGATCAAGATCCAAACTACCATTCTGAATATACCATTTCAAAATGCTACAATTAAGCGTAACATTTTGTTGCGTATTTTGAATGGTAGTGAATGGTAGATGAATGGTGGCTCTATGGTAGATGAATGGTGGCTCTATGGTAGATGAATGGTGGCTCTATGGTAGATAAATGGTGGGTCTATGGTAGATGAATGGTGACTCTATGGTAGATGAATGGTGGCTCTATGGTAGATGAATGGTGGCTCTATGGTAGATGAATGGTGGCTCTATGGTAGACGAGTGGTGACTCTTTGGTAGATGAATGGTGGCTCTATGGTAGATGAGTGGTGACTCTATGGTAGATGAATGGTGGCTCTATGGTAGATGAGTGGCGACTCTATGGTAGATGAATGGTGGCTCTATGGTAGATGAGTGGTGACTCTATGGTAGATGAATGGTGGCTCTATGGTAGATGAGTGGTGACTCTATGGTAGATGAATGGTGGCTCTATGGTAGACGAATGGTGACTCTATGGTAGATGAATGGTGGCTCTATGGTAGATGAGTGGTGACTCTATGGTAGATGAATGGTGGCTCTATGGTAGATGAATGGTGGCTCTGTGGTAGATGAATGGTGGTTCTGTGGTAGATGAATGGTTGCTCTATGGTAGATGAATGGTGGCTCTATGGTAGATGAATGGTGGCTCTGTGGTAGATGAATGGTGGTTCTATGGTAGATGAATGGTGGCTCTATGGTAGATGAATGATGGCTCTATGGTAGATGAATGATGAATCTATGGTGGCTCTATGGTATATGAATGGTGGCTCTATGGTAGAATATGTAGGTGTGGCCTAATTTGAATAAATGAATAAATTTGTCCCAATTATTTTAATTAGTTCTATGGTAAATGAGTGGTAGATCTATGGTAAATTTGCTATGGTGTTTGTATGGTAATCTATGGTAGATTTGCTATGGTGTTTGTATGGTGTACCATAGAGATTTTTTTTGTAAGGATATATCCGGATATTTATTAACAGAGGGGGAGGGGGGAGCACAGGTGAGTCCTTTCAAGCCAATAACCAACAGCTCCATAAACGATTCCAGTTATACGGGAACTGGTATAATGGGGAGGGGCGGCAGCGACACAGGCTTTACTCGATGGATGAAACGATCAAAAGCAAAAGAGCCATTGCATAGGGGAGGGTGTGGGAGGTGTCGCAGCGTCTTCTTTCCTTCATATATCTTTTATTTTTGTCATTTAATTGGGGATCCAATGTACCCCCCCCCCCCGTACCTACGTCAATGTATGTGAATTTAGATAGTAGATGCCTGTAAATCATAAAAATTACTCATTTCGGGGGCAAATATACAGAACTTACAAAATGACCTACCTTCATCGATTGGACTTTGTATCTAACAACTTACACATAAGCGTTGTAGTGGGTGGGGTAGGATGATTTTTGTGCCCTCTCCTCATTTCTATCAAATTTGGAAAACCACTTTTTTTTTGGGAAACAAGTTGGTATATTGTTGTATTTTTTACGCCGTGTCCGTGTTCATAATCCTATGAATATGTTATGACAGGCAGGGGCGTAGACAACGGGGGGATGAGGGGGATGCATCCCCCCACCTCACAAGGTGGGGGGGGGGATGGCATGTACAATCATCCCCCCAGGTTTTGGGGAATGATATTTGCTTACTTAATAAGTCATAATGATGATAATAATAGTAATAATAATAATGATTACAATTATAATATTAATAATAATAATAATTATGATGATGATAATAATAATCCTCATCATTACTGTAATTGTGTTTATTGTTAGCCGCATTCACACGGTGAAAGCCAATTCTAAAACAGAATAGAAAATGAATGTGATACAACAGTATACATAATAATTCGTGACAGAGAGTACCATACTACTATCTTTATAACAAGTATTATTCAAACAAACATATATAATTATGTATAATCATGAATTGTTCAACTTCATGCTCCCACTATATGACTATTGTTACACTAATACTGATATCAGGACTGACTGGTATACATTAGTTTGTTGTTAAGCTTGCAGCAGCTACATCTTTTGTGTATTGTTAACTATTTATTTATTTTTGTTTTATTTAAGATGCACTTTGTTTTGTATTCATTCAAAGTATGTTGATTGATGCATGAAGACATAAGTTTGAAATGTTTAAAGAAGTTTGTTTCATGTAAAGCGCAGTGTGAATTTACCCTGTCTTGAAATGCGAGATAAAAGGAACCTATTAGTATTAGCATTATTATTTGTATTAGTATTATTTTTTTTTATTATTATTATTATTATTATTATTATTATTATTATTATTATTATTATTATTATTAGACTGAGATCAAATAGAAGTAAATAATGCCCTAATTTGAAACGATGCAATGCCGTTATGGTTCCGATTTCTTCACAAACTTACAAAGCAGTATTGTTACTCCATGGATCATAGTGATACTGTTTATGTTTTTTGTATCTGTATTTTAATGAGCCGCCAGCCAATATCCATCTATGGATACTATGCCTGTTTCTTTGAGGTAAAAAAAAGCATAGTATGTACGTATTCATTATGCTTTATAATGAACAGACATATTGTTCAAAGTTTAATCGTTATTTGCTTGTTGTTTATGTGTTCTATTCACAAATGGCCACAGAGGCTGTTTTCATTCATAACCACAAACCCCTATCAAGACAACAAAGACTATACCTGCGTGTACACAGTTGACATTGGTTTTTTTTCTGAAGAGGTGTAACAGCAAAATTCACAGAGATAAATAAATACGTAGTGTGGTTTAATATGCAATACTATGTGTCAGTCCATTCTGTCTTCGTATGCCACGGTGTGTAGATCTTGTCGATGTATGTCTGTCCATTCAAGGCGTAGTATGTGTGTGTGTGTGTGTGAGTATGTGTATGTGTGTGCGTGCACGCTTGTGTGTGTTATTTTACCTCATTAAGTATGCATCAGATTGCACGATTTCAAGTTCAAATTGCAAACGCTCCCTACCGTGGGAGGGGGGACACCCCCTCCCACACCCTCCCCCCGCTCGGTCGCTTCGCTCCCTCGCTCGGGCGCTTCGCGCCCTCACTAGCGTTGGCAGCCCAGTCATCCCCCCCAGGTGTACGAACCTGTCTACGCCACTGATGACAGGATTACGTAATGCAACACCCGAGACTGACACAAACGATCGGAGTCTCACAATATTTGCTCGTCTAAGTATCATTCACTATGATCTATATACTTATAATGATACATTTTGAATGAATCAAGAACTACATTATCATTTTGATCATCTTACGTATGTTGTAGATTGGTTCACTTGCTCTGTAAAAATGATGGTATGTAGATCGTTCTGCCAGCGCGATAACGGTAGTGCCTACTGACCGAGTAGAAAACCGAAAACTCAAATTCATGTATTTATCGGCTGGGACAGGCGGCAATTGGTCAAAAGGGAACCTTCCAATATTACATTCCGTAGTCTGGAGATGGATATCACCTAAAGAAATGACATGAAATAACATGTTGTAGATTTCTTTTATAGTGAATCGAGTGTTTCACTCCATCAATCAATTAAATGTTTTATTAATGCTCTACAAACACCAAACAAAAAAAATAGTTCTGTATTATGTTTATGTCCTCTAAGTTTATAATGTAAAGTGCTTTGGGAATTATATCGTAATTATTATGCCATAATAAAACACAATACGTGTAAACGTACGACACACCAAATCACCAATACGTTCACTATTTGGAAGGGGGCAAAAAAAAGGGGGGGGGGGTTCCATCCTGACAGATTTCCAACTATAAAAAGGAAAGACAACCCACACATGTTAAGGTAATCATTTGTTTTTAGTATTTCAAACTTCCAATTCATCAGTTCCTTTCCCCCTTTTCTTCCCTCAAAATATCTTGGGTTCGGGGGTGACTCCCTCCCCCGTCCATTGTTTCCTTGCTTGTACCTCCTGCGGTCCATCTCTGGAAACGCCACTGACAAGCTTCTTGCCCATAAAACACATGTTTTTAAGTACCTGTGAAGTTACCGCTCCGAGCAAGAGAACCATGTAAGTCTCTGTCATCTAAAGGTGGCGTTGGTGCTGTTGGGGACAATGTAGAAGGTTGAGTTTCATATGATTGCGGTTTCTCTGTCGCTGAAGAATAGTTATCATTATTTAAAAAAGATGAAATGCCACGAAAGACATTGGCAAATCGAGGGCAAAGCAAAGTATTATGTTAACATTGAATACAAAACAAGAAATACTCCCCATAAGGCCCCGGCGGCAATTTTATGCCTCAATGGCACTTGGATTAGAGTATTTTTGTCTATCAAGAAAGTAAGTGACATGTGATCATAACTCTTTATTTGGTCTTTTCAGAATGTTTTCTGTGAAGTGCACCCCTTTCCCCGGACAGGGAATCCTGGATCGGGCACTTGAAGAAGTACTTCTCTCTAATCAATATTTCATTTAAAGTAAATTGATTGCTATACATCCAGCTCTTGAATGGGTAAATCTGTTGATTTATCCGACATATCTGATTCTGTATTTACCGAGAACGCTGCAAACATCGTGCCGTCTTCTAATTCTTATTCCCCACCCTTTTGGAATCCACGGTGCTAGATCGCGCTCAGACGCGATCATCGAGTCATTGCTAAGAAGACTTCTTCGACATCGGAGTCGAAATAATCTTGTTAACGCATCCTCAGGTCTTTCGTGACATGACTGGGCATGTACACCTGTGGAGAGAAAGAGAGAGAGAGAGAGAGAGAAAGCGAGAGAGAGAAAGAGGAAGAGAGAGAGAGAGAGAGAGAAAGAGAGAGAGAGAGAGAGAGAGAGAGAGGGCACCGCGGTAAGCACTTGCGAAAAACAAAGTATACCCCATTTGTTTTTTTTAATAATAATTTTAAATAGAATGCACGGTGAAATGAGTAGAATATCGAATTTGGCGATATTTACCCTACTCTGTTTAATGAATCTTGCATCCGCCACATCACCTTGATTTTAAACGTGCAAAGTGGATATAAATGGCAATTGTACTACACGTACTATACCGAGAACTGTTTACATGTATATCAATGCATTTACACACACACACACACACACACAAAGGGGGGGGGGGGGGGGGGGCTCTGAAGATATAAAGCATCATTTTCTGACTAACAGCGGATAAGAGACTATTAGTACTCCGAAATCGAACAATAACGAGTTATTCCATTGAATGCAAGTCAGGCAAAAATCTTCAATTTTTGTATCCTGAATGATAAATCTTTAACTGTTTTAAGTCACTTCATCTTGAGATTGTGTTTGTGTATGATTGTTAGAGCTTTCGCGTAAAAAGGGTCACGTGTTACCCCCTTGAATATAAAGTGACAAATCGGTCTTTCTGCTTGTTTTAAGATATTTTCGGCAATATTTTTTGGCAAAATTTAGTTCAACACTTCAGTTCAAAAGGTTATTATTGTAAGGATTTCTATTAATATTGTTAGTATAAAAAAAAGCAGAGGTAAAAACTGATCGATATTCAGCAGTCAATAAAACTGAGAAAGAAAAACAAATATAGACGTACCTGGTAGACCGGTTCCATTTATCACAGTAAGCACGATTGGGTAGTAGATCTAATCCAGAAAACAGATTGAACAAGAAATCAACATTTCATAATGACAAGATAATATTCCGAACCCAAACAATACATTGCCCCAGAAGCCAGTCATAATTATCAATATTTAATTTAAATTATGCTTTTATATTTGTTTCCATTGATTGAGATTGTAATGTATAATCATGTATTTTACTTCCTACCTTGATAGATCCGTCCCGCATGTCGTTACTACTCAAATTAGGGATATACGCTTAACTTAGACAAAACTATAATTTAAAATCTAGATTTTCGGGGAGAGGCAATGCAGGGAAACCGTACATAAGAGCCGGGTGTTATACAAAGACTGGGGAAATAGATAAATACAGGCTGAAATATTTAGTAAATGAACATGAATTTTTAAAGGTTATGATAATAAAAACGAAATTCTTTATCATACATTAAATTAAATACAAAAAGGCGCTGATATTTTAATTAATTGATTAAAACAAGAAGACCTCCCTTTTATCTCCTGATCGGTTGTTAGAGGACTTTTCCGATGACAATATTGTTTCACAGTCAATATCCGACACTGACCGAATTCCTAACTTCAACTCTAGACCAAAAGTGATATCTTACCCTTACCCTATCCTAACCTTTAACCCGAATGCAACCCTAACCCTAGCCCTATATCTCGGACGCATTAAATCCCGGATCAAATGTCGCCAGATCACCGATCGCTAAAATACCCAAGTCTATAAAATCCAATAAGGGCTTCCGCGTGAAAATACGTACAGTAAAGAGACACATCCTGACTTCAAGGATTAAGAATACCGAGTGAAGCACTAATAGAATTGATCGACAAATTCTGAGAGAGTGTGTCTGTCTGTGATTTTGTGTCGGCGTGTGCGTTTTGACGCCAGCATAATCTGTGTTTAAAAAAAAAACTAAAAAACTAAAAAGGTTATACTAAGCACTTTTGTTTAACTTGTTCCCATAAAAGATATTTATGTTCACTTAAGCTTATTTTCATTTAATTTAATTGTTCAATTTAATGGAAAGTCATTACATTTCAATGTGCAATAGTTCAGAGACCAATTCCAGAGACCGGGGTAATAAGACAATTTATGAAACAAGTTAAGACTGTTTTCATGTTCCCATAGAAATAAGAGCTCTCCTTTTTTAAAACGTCGTTTCATTTTGGTCCATAAAGTACAAAACAAGGGGCGTGCAACATGCTGGCTCCATCTAGTGCTGAATTCGTCACTGGCATTAACCCATGACTACTGAATTATCACAGAGACTACCAGGTTCCAGTAAGCAATAGGTTAAACTTGACTGCATTGGCATACTCTTCTTCTGATAAATCAAAACAAGTATAATCAAATCGTCGCCGTTTTCACGAACAAAAAATTAATTCATGAAAAAATAAGAATTTTGAAAAGAAATGAATTATCAATAGTTCAATATTTCAAACATTACCGTATCCGTTATACCCGAATATTCATGATTTCATTTTGTAGAATGACATACTAAGAAGGTAGAATCTTTATCTCATTTAATCTTTAAAATATTTGCATCATAAGCAACCAGTAGGCCTATTATTTTGGCTTTGATATAGGCCTATAATCACTCTACCAATTTTTTCTTTGTATGTACACTGTTGATTCTCTTTTATTCCCTCTTTTCCTCATCCTTCTACAAGTTTGATATGTCACTTAATTTCTCTTTTGATCTTTATCTCGTGATCTCTCCCCCCCCCCCCGCTCTCTTTTCACGTTTTTGCTTTTGTTCTCTTTTTTTGGGGGGGGGGGGGTTGTCCCTGCTGTATCTCTCTCCCTCTCTCTTTATTTCACTGTCCCTTAATCAATACATTAAAACATCTCATAAATATTCAAATACAGATACAATTCTATAACAGTTACTTATGAACACTCATGAACGAAAACAATTGTGCCAATTAACATCATTGGAAGAACAGAGTACACAGAAAACGGCTTATTGGATTTAAAAAAATTTAATCTTGGTTCTTAAGAGAACACTCTTGGGTAAACTGATTCAATGTGAGACATTACTGATTGTAACAAGAGGAAATCATATTTTCCCATCATTTGGTTGTCATTTCAGTTATAATAAATCACAGAATCTATACAATTTATTTAAATACACATTTTTTAGTTCCTGTATTCACAAATTCATTTTCTTTGAATCATTAATGAGTTAACACATTCAATTTTTAGTTCCTTTTTGATTTTTGATTTTTTAATTTTATTTTGGGGTTAGAACAATGCAACTTTTAAGTAATACCAGTGTATTTATGATAACATTTTGTACTCAATAAAAGTCACTGAGCTTTTAATTAATGATGTATTGATTGTTCAAATACAGTTTACAAGTCACATAATGATGTCTAAATGATTCCTGTAATACCAATTTATATAAAGGGGCTACAATTATGTGTACTTGTATGAATAGAAGTGTAACAACAACGTTAACTGTTCATTGAAGAACAAAGTAATTAAGTACTTAAAAGACTTTTTTTTTCTTTTCAAAAACACAACTGAGATGGCGTAAATATTCATATTTCAAATGATAGCACCGTTAAAACCAAAAGCAACAACAATATTCAATTTAACCATTTACATTTCCCTACCTACATTTACTGCTAGTCTATTTTCATTGCATTTTAGCCAATATTAAACAATAATTATAGTTTATTCAATCCTAATTATTCATTAAATATATTTCATCTCATAGGAAACACAAATTGTACAAATAAAAAATATCTACATTATCTACAGAGTCAATTGAATTTTATTTTCAATACTAGTATTATAAATAAATAAATACATGTATACGTCTATTAATGATGTATTTATGAACACAAATAAGTGAAGTGCCACAGTTTAAGAATGTTCTAAATATAGTTCACACAGGCAGCTTGTATTATATGTATTCTGTATATGAACAGTCTTTTCTCTTATAATTGGTAATACTTTGAGGTAGACTTTTTATAACAAAAAACTTATTTACACTTCAATCTTAATATTTTCAGAACAACAATTGCAACAAAAAAAATAACAATGGTTATAATGACAATTAGGAGACTACAATAAATATGCTATGTCACATAATGTGCCGTGATGAAAGAGCTTGTTTGTTTCTTCCAAGACACATTTGGTACTTATGACCCTTTCCCAATTCTTCTACTTGTCAAGTAAATTAAAATCCTTAAATAGCAGCTACAAAATGCAACAATAAGATGTTCATCCTTTGAATGTAACACTATCAAGATCAAAAGTACCATAATATTCCGACTTCCTACTTATTATCAGTGTGTCTGTCTGTGATTTTGTGTCGGCGTGTGCGTTTTGACGCCAGCATAATCTGGGTTTAAAAAAAAAAAAAAAAAACTATAAAGGTTATAGTAAGCACTTTTGTTTAACTTGTTCCCATAAAAAATATTGGTGTTCACTTAAGCCTTTTTTCATTTAATTGAATTGTTCAATTTACTGGAAAGTCATTAAATTTTAATGTGCAATAGCTCAGGGACCAATTGCAGGGACCGGGGTAATAAGAGAATATTTATGAAACAAGTTACGACTGTTTTCATGTTCCCAAATAAGAGCTCTCCTCTTTTGAAACGTCTTTTCATTTTGATCCATAAAGTACAAAACAAGGGGCGTCAACATGCTGGCTCCATCTAGTGCTGAATTCGTCACTGACATGAAACGACGTTTCAAAAGAGGAGAGCTCTTATTTCTATGGGAATATGAAAACAGTCGTAACTTATTCCAATGAATTTCTTATTACCCCAGTCCAAGGGTGTCGATTAGTATTTGGTTGGGGGAGGGGGGGGGGGATGATAGGTGCCAAAATATTTTCGGCAATGGATCAAAGCAACCAAGCGTGTGGCAGGTTGCACCCCCTCCCTAAGCGCGTAGCCAAGGGGTTGGATGCTGGGAGGGAGGAGTTTCCCCCTCCCCCGCGAAGCGCGGAAGCTTTGACGTTTCATTAAATTATTAGAGAAAGAAGACGATTCGATGTACCATTCTCGACTCTTAATCCTTGTTTGAATTAAGTTCCCCCCTCCCGCGCGAAGCGTGGAAGCTTTGACGTTTCATTAAATTATTACTCTTAATCCTTGTCTGAATTCAATTTCGCCCAATTCTGCGCGAAGCGCAGAAGCTTTTACATTTCAATACATTATTAGAGAATGAAGACGATTCGTTGTATCGTGTGCTTGTCTGAATTCAGTTCCCCCCCCCCCCTACCGTGCGAAGCGCGGAATTTTTGATGGTTCAATAAATTATTACTCTTAATCCTTGTCTGTATTCGTTTTCGCCCATCCCGCGCGAAGCGCGGAAGCTTTACCGTTTCATTTAATTAGTAGCGAGCTTTAGATATTCGACACCGAACGACCTCTACTACGAGTGACGTCATTTTGAATGACTGCGCATGCGCCACCTGCTTCTAGCTCGTCGTCTGTGAATTGACACAACGGGAGTCGGGCAGATATTAGGCTTATCTCGAAGTGATCACAACGACTACGAGAATATAATTCAAGAAGATATATGTGACTGCAATGAAAACAACAAATACCTATGAACTTGATCAATCACGTTAATTCAACCTATTTAATTTCACCTTTTCGACGAAATTAAGGAGTTTTCTGCACAGCTGAGGTTCGAACAGCTGTGCAAACTATGACGTAACAAAGAAAACTTGTCGCGCGTATATCACTGCGTATCACTGCGCATCACTGCGCATGCATTCAAACATTGGCACCGCGTCGTGTGACAATCTAAAGCATTGCAAGAGGAGACCAAACGTGGATTCAACGACCGCATAACAATGACGTCACTCGTAGTCGAGGTCGTTCGGTGTCAAAATCTAAAGCTCGCTATTAGAGAAGGAAGACGATTCGTTGTATCGTGTCCTTGTCTGAATTCAGTTTTCCCCTTCCCGCGCGACGCGGGAAAGCTTTGAGGTTTTATTTGATTATTACTCTTAATCCACATCTGAAAT